GAGGGGAGCACGGTAGCTGTCCAAATATCTGAAGTTAGGAGTGGCATGGAAATAGAAGAGAGGTATTTAAAATATCCAAACAATACTTAAAACCCCAGAGATATCCACACTGGGAACAATTTTATATCGAAGGCAACAGAATCCCACCTCATAGTTCAGCCATGCACGCATGCTTCTGCGAGATCATCATCTAACAGGGCAGACGAACAGACAACTGAATAATCCCTGTCCGGAAGGTGGCAAAACACCAACAAAGGCACAGCTACCCAAACTCCACATGCATTTATACAAAACAACATAGAAGCTGCTGTGAGCCACTAGCTAGTATACCTGCAAGCGTTTGACACGGTGTAAAGCTTGGGCACAAAGTTTTTAGGCCGTTTTAAGTGCATACATCAGCACATGTGCCTGTAAAGCATGTAAGAACTAGAACATGTACAAGCACAATTCAAAACTAAAACTGTACCCACCAAAGGTATGTTGAATTTACTTCTGAAAATAATTTAAATTAATACACTGTGAAATACAGTAAATATGCAGAAAAAATAGACAAAATGAACCAGGATTTCACACTCAACATCTGTATCTCTTCATAATCTTAAAACATGAAATTATTCTGATACAGAAGAATTACCCTGAATTCAGGATGCACTGCCAAGGTCAGGATGCAGAAAAACATTATCAGGGCACCTATGTTTCAGTGCCTTTTCCTGTTCCATTTTTACAAATTGTAGGTGATCTTTTCAGAATATACTTAAATATCGGACTTAACCAATTTTGCCCATCATTTTATGACTTTAATGCATCAGCTCAAGAACGGGATGTACTTCACTCCTCAGCAATTGTAATCAACCAGCCTCACAGGAACTAATAGGCATTTTAACACCATGTTTGCTCTCAGAGGACAATATGTTTTTATTACAAATTCATTACCAAATGGCACTGATTTAACAGGGAGAAGAAATTCAGTGGAATTATTTCAACCTCAGTGGAGTTACCCAAAATTATAAAAAAATAAGATAAGCCCTTGATTTTCCTGCCTTCATTTCATATGACACACACTGAACATCTGTATCAGGCATACCATCTTAAAGCTACTTAGGATGAGGATGTCAATGAAAACAATAGTGAATCCGTTTGCCAGGAATTCTGATTCCACGTATTCATATGTATTCAATCCTAAGTATTCACATGAGATTAATTTTATATTTCTCCCACCGCCCCCCACCTCCCACCTTAGCTACTCCAATCGTGGCTGTGTGCCTGAAGCAGCTCAAGGAAATTTAACTGACAGATGCAATAAAAGAATCTTCCATTAAGGTAAGACGTGATAATATATCCACTTAAGGAGTGATTTTCATATTAAAATATTCTTTAAGTTCTCTTACACATATTTTTCTGGTGCAAGTCTATAGTTTCACAGCACTTTCACAAACAATTGTTTCTCATAACAGCATGAGCAGTTTTAAGAGAAAGCAAGTATCTCCCTTCTAAAGAATGGGAAGCTGAAGCACAGAAGCTAGCCAAAGCCAAAGAGAAAGTTATTGTAAGTGTTCAGTAGTTCCTGGCTCTCAGCTGAGACCCAGATCACTACAGAAATTCACACATGCACTCACTTCCCCAGGAATATTTGATCAAATAAAACAAACAAAAAAGGCATTGCATTTTTCATGCCAAGCTCAATATAAACACTTGTGGCTATTACATGCACCCGTATTCTATTTCCTATGATAAAGCATGGCCAATATCAACTGCGATAAAAGACATTTCTAAGAAATACCTGAAATCCATTGGCATTTTTAGTGTCCTTTCTCAAAGGAAATGTCTTGACAGGCTCAAGAAATGAGATGTTCACCCCCACCAGAGACTAATGAAGTGGAATAGAAATAAACTCCTTGAAAACCGCAGACGTGATGCAGCATTTCATGATATGACCCTACACTTACTAGATTTCAGCCTTAACCCGAGAGTGATAAATCAGCGATTTAGTTTTGCAAAGGCTGTCAAGAATACATAATTCCACGCATATCCAGTCCAAATATTAATTTCAGCTTACAGCGAAGAAAGAAACAACACCCAAGCCTTATTAATCTTCGTAGAAAAATTGGCATGCAATTATAGGAAGAATATACACCCGTGTCATGCCTTCCCCCCGTACCAGCCACCCTTCCTATGTTTAAATTTGAGAATGCTTGTTGTCTCTACGTTCTACACAAACGTCAAAGCAAGTTAAATTAATGCACATATAGATGTTGCATATTTATGAGAACCAGGATAACCGCACAAGGATGTTTAAGGCACGAGCCCTCCAAGGAATTCGCTACGGGAAGTTTCACTCCTCCCAGCAAGAAAGGAATGTGTAATTTAGCAGCATCTACTACAGGGCAGGTTAAAAACAAAACAAAACCCGACCTCCTCTTCTCCCCCAAAGCAAGCCTGCGTGTAAAAATTTTCAGCTCTTGCATTCCATGCCATCAGAACATCAGCCAACCCCAGACACGTGTAATTTATTTTAAACATACTTTAAATGCTGTAGATTTTAGCTAATGCACTATCAAATAAAAATACTATTTTTATTCTCTAGTATATTGGAAATCCTGCATGATAAAGAGATCTCTACCTTTGCTATCAGCATTTGCAGGCAACAGGAAATACCACAACTAGTAAATCAAACTAATTTAACTTGAGGCGATGGATACATTTTATGTTAATACAAAAGGGCACTCAGAGTTGATTTTTACAATAGTGGAAAAGATAACATTTGCTCTGCTTTGTTTTCAGACTCTTATCCTAGAAGTAAAATCTCATCTGTTCAAGTTGTTTACACTCTTCTGCTCTACGCTGTTGCCAGTAAGCCGTTCTCTAGCTTCCTGCTCATTTTCAGAGCAGTCATCTCCAAGAGCTGCCGCTGGAAAATGCTTGGGAGATGGGAGTAGGAGGCTAGGGGCTACAGCCAGCAAAATATAGTCTGTGCTCTGCATTTTGGTATACAATAACAGTACACAGAAAAGACAGATTGGGACAAATCGCTTTCTTAATATAAGCAAGTTAGATGAGGCGCAAGCAGGCTTTCTGCTAGACAGCAGCTATTTTTATTTAAAGCCAAATATTTGACTCTTCTATCGTTCTGTTAGGTTAGGATGATGAGACAGCAGTGGCACACTCTGCAGCCTTGCGCACACGCGACTCCAGCTCGTGGTGGTGTGTGCACACAACAACTGCAGAAACAGGACTGTTAAGCAAGCAGTGTTAGGAGCATCGAAACAGAGTGAAATTTGGCTTTGTGTGAATTTGAGCTTGGTATTTGTTTTATTTTGGCCTCTCCGGAGGTACAAACTCCGACCGCAGTTTGCTTCCCCCGCTCCTCAGACATCCTTTGGTAACTAAGGAGTTGCAAGCTCATACTACAGCACGTCCCCAGTGAGGGCACTGTAAGGTCTCTGTCCCCTGCTCTTCTGTCTGTTTTCACAAAACTTGTGATTAACTTTGGAGATCTACCCCTCAAATCAATATCAAATTTGTCTCAGACTTGGCAACGGACTTAAAAGTTCCTGGGGGATGAGAGAAGCACTGACACACACACATCACAATCACATAAGCCTGTTTAGTTTTCACAGGAAGCTAAATTACCAAAAAAAGGAAGAACAGATTCCAATTACAATGTGCTTGTCATGCCCAGAGAACTGGTTGTACCTAAATTTTTTGCAAGCATTCATAGTGCAATCATCAGCCTCATAACCAATGCCTTGCAAACTCTAAGAATGGTATTTAAAAAAAAAAAAAAAAAACACAAAAACCTGTTCCTCATTCCCAGTACCACAAAGTAGTAAGGGTAATTTCTTTATTCATTCCGTGACAGCTAAACTGAAGTAGTTCTGATATTTTTGATTAAGGGTAGCCAATGACATGCCCACTGAAAAGATAGTAAATAACTTGTTCATCACACACTGGACTTTTCAGACAGTGTAAATACTGAAAACATATACAACAGCTGAAGTTCCACGGATGCATACAATACACATTCAGCTGAACACACCACAAACCCAACAAGGCTGCTATTGAAATCAATGGAAAGACTTCCACTATGGCCACGAGTAACTGCCTGTATTTAAAGTGTAACAAGAGACTCCACTTAGAAGTTCTTCCAACACAGATTCAGACTCTCTGTTTCTAAGCCTCATCCTGCCGGATCACCATCTCTGTTCTCTCATTACAAATTCTGCTAACTGTGCATACACACATTGCTCTCACAGGAAGCAGCACTGAAGATTTCTTTTGTATAATACTGTAAGTACAAGGACTAAGCAGCTCAGCTGTCATGACATGCGATGTTTTCTTTTCACTTTGGCTCCCTATTTTGCTGTGTTTTCAGAGTAAACAATACTGTTTACTCACACAAGTTAACATCAAAAATTTTCTTCTTGTGCTGTCGCTTTCGGAGCAACTGAAGTTCTTGCTAATCCCTCCAAGTGCAACGTACATAAATGAGTAATTGGACTGTGCTTAAGAACTGCCATAGTCAGCAACACTTGCTTTCTGTACTGCATGTCCCCATCAGTGAAGAATTAAGGATGTAATACAGAGGTAAAAGAATCTGAACTCAAATACTTGTTTATAGTGGTCATGGCAGGGATCCAAAGGTATTCATGTTAATTTACAACACATTTAGGTAAATGATCTGGCTTTGAAGACAGCCAATTCTGTAAAGGCCTCTTGTTGATCTAAATCTGTTTCTTATTTCCTTCACCCACCCCACAACCTTATAGCATGCTTCATGGTTGTAAAAGGTGATGGAGAGAATGACTGGGTATGAAAGTGGTTTAGTCCTATGACATGCAAAGCAGCGATGAAGACTATCCAATGCAAATTGCACATGCTGCTTTGTAGTCTTTCTGTTCACAATTCAGAAATAACTTTATTCAGCAAATTAACGTGGAACAATCCCACTTCCAGGCACATCTGCAGTCAGGGATCTGGAAGAAAAGCAATCCCCCCTTTACCTCTCTTTCATGATGGCCAAGACCTTCCTCCGGATTTCGGAGATTGAGGACGTGCACCTCTTGCGGCAGGCCTGTCGTGCCTCGGCTTGCACAGCCGGATAGGACTGTAAAACTCTCCAGTAAAGCATGGACTGGGTGCGAATTATTAACAGGCAATAAGACACATTCGCTCCTAGGCACAGGACCTGCAGAGGAAGTCACGGATACACATCTTTTAGTGAAAAGAACAAAATATAAATTACACTTGTCAAACAATAATCACCCTCTTGGTCACAAAAGCAATGAGAACACAGAGACTTCATGTTCACTACCTCCATTATGAAGAAGTTTACTTCTATTCCCTTTTAAGCTTTCCTGTGCGAGCTAGATCATTAATTCTTTTCTCTCTGAAAGCCTTAATTAAAAGTATGCACTCCAAAACTGATGCAAGTCTTGCTTTTACCACGGAAGAAGGATTAAAAAAAGATAACCCAAAGGAAAAGAAAACAGAGCAGTGACGGTGGTGGGAGGAATTGGTTAGTCTTAGATGTGGATTATTTGTTTATGTCAAACACTTATCTCCAAATACCGAAAAAATGCAATCGTGTATATGTAACAATGAAAAGTTAATCTCTAGTATAAAGTAATTACACCAGGAAGGATTTGGGTGAGTTGGATTTGTTGCTTTTGAAGCAGTGCTGATTTATAGAGAACATCGTTCAAATACGCTGCACAAAACAGCAGACGTTTATCACATGATAAAATGAAATGTTTGTTTACCGGGTCTATTTTGTGTCTGACAGCAATTATCTACACTGATAACAGATATCTAGTCCAAAATAGAGTTTACGCCCTTTCAAATAATCACCACAGCATGATGTAGTGCCATACTTTTATGCAGTATGTGAGACAGTGTGATGTGATACAGCAAGATAGTACAAAAGCTGAAGCATATGTAGCAGTTTACATTTAAACTATATCTCAGGAAACTAAAGCAAGACAAATATTTATGAAAAGCAGCCCTGCTTTTACAAAATGGCTCAAACCCACCCCTGAGAGTAACAGATACAGTATGTTTTTGATTCAGAAGGTCACAGGAGAAAGTCAGTTGACTTAACCCCTATTTGCACCAAAATCAGACAGATAAGTATTAGACTCAGATGAACTCCTGGTCAGTTCAGAGGCAGCAACATATAAAAGAGGGACATAATCTAGAAATATGATTTTTCTGGTTAGTATGCATTTGCAATTAAAAGGAAACTGCTTCTGTTGGAAAAAGTTCAAAAATGAAAGAAAATCCTGAAATGATCAAATAGCAGAGCTCTGTCAGGTTTTGTAAGGTCTGCATCCAACTGCTGTAACACTAGAGATCATTGCACTCGGTATCCACATGTTTAATTACCATATTAGCACTGACCTACGCTTTGCTGGTTAAAAAGACAGTTCACTCTAAACAAGAGTTAGCAACTGGACATTTAGAAGTCAGAAAGCCCATCTTAAAACAGACTTTATCTAGAAAAAGCAAAGCCACTGAGAACAGTCAGATTTTCACAGTGCCTTAGGTCATGCGTGCCTTGTCCTGTGGAAGGGGCCGTTCCTGAAACCCACCGGTGCATAGTACACATCCTGCCAACTCCCACAGAACAGGAGTGTTTGTTAAAGGCAATGCTCGAGGCAGAAATTACACATGCCTGTGCTTGGAGCACAGAGGATAAACAAACATCCTGTCCTGCTGCTCTCTGTTGAGGAGTTTGGTAGCAGCACTGAACACCACCAGTTTGGGGGACTTGAGGGTCATTCACTTTTTTATTTCTTTTTAAGAATACAGATATAAAATAAGACTGCCCAAACAGCGATACTTTTTTTTTTTTTTTGGGAGAACATTGCCCTGTAACGCGGTCTGTAACAGCCTCCCACACAGCACCTCAAGAGCACGCTAGGAGTGCCCCTCTGCAAGGCACTCTGCTTTCCTTGCAAAATGAAAACATTCATCAACAGAGCAGCAGTTCACGTCCTGGACAGCCACATGCAGCTGAGCTTATCTGCGCGAGGAAGGGCAGACGGGGGCATGCCCACTCCGCCGCGCTCCCTCCGAGCTGGCCGCGGGCCAGGCCTCCTGCAGGAGCCGTGCAGCCGCGGTGGCAGCGAGCCCACGTGGCTGTACCACTCCTAACAGGGCTTATTGGCTTCCGCCCCACGGTGCCCCACTGGCGCCTTCTGGCTCGTGCCCAGCCAGCTGGGGACACAGCACGTTGTGCACCCGACCGAGCAGGCCGGCACGTGCGCGTCCAACCTCCTCTCTCACACCGTCCTCCTTTCTCCTCTCCTCCCTGAGGGGCCACGCTCCCGCACGGTGCCGTTATGTGGGTGCTTCATGCACTGCTATTTGCTTCCTTGTGACCGCTGTCAGCTCTGTGCACCCTTTCCATCCAAACAGACCTGTTCTGAGTCACTCAACATAAGAAACCAACCTTTTGGGGAGGGAGGGGAGGGAGGGAAAAGGGGAGTTATTTCTTTTGGACGAGTTGCTTCCGTTACAGCGTAGCGTTCGGCCTCACCACTGATTGAGATAACAGCCCTTAACACTTGAACCAAAGATCAGAATAGTTACCTGAGGTCATTTCCACTTTATTCAGACTACATATGCTGCAAGATCACCCACACATAAGGATATGCGCTGGGGTAAATTACAGAGAGGCTTACTCTAGATGTTGCATTTCTTTTGAGTTTTTGCATAGACGCTTGAGTAGGTACGATCTGCACCTGTATTACGCTTCCTAGGAACTCGCAAGAGTTTCAGGAACATTATTTCTCTTAACTGTGCTCGCAGTACCAAAGAGAAATCTTAGTGCACTGAAGTTTGCATGTTTGCGCAACCACTAAATTGAGCTTTAGCATAAGCATGCTTATCTGAAGCTAGTGCCAAAATGAGAGAAAAACCACGAGCTCCAGTACCACGAGCTCCACTGACACTCAGTGCATTACACAAGACAGTTCCTTCTGCCACCTCCTTTCTGTTTATGCTCCATCTTACTCTATGGAGCTTGTTATACTACCCACACCCCAGCTCTGAGCTATTTGCTAAACATTCATTAACAGCATTTCTTTCCAGCACTACCCACTGCACCCACAGCTCTTGCCCAGTCAGAGACGGTCAGGTGCCACTCGGAGGGACTCTCACTCCAGCAAGGGCAGCGAGAGCTCTCCTTCCTCCAGATTAACTCTTCTCACCTCCTTGGTTCCCTTGCACGCTCATCCTGTTGTTCATCTTTCCCCCCCACCAGTCTCCTCCTGACTAGGAAGCTAGTTACTTCCCCCAGGTAGTTTATATCCTACAAAGCGTGTACTTACAACTCTGAAAAAACAAACAGAAAACCCTTTCTATGATACCACTAATCTGGCCATTTATCACCTCAACAAACCTGATCGGATCTGAGAGCCGACATGAAACCACGCTGTCACCCTGCCTGGGCTGTACCGTGCTGCTGCTTGGCCAAGCACAAGTGCCAGGATCTGCCTCTCCAGCCTCCCGCCGCAGGCCCGCAGCCTGCTCTCGCCAACTTTACCTGCACCAGCGACACTAGCATCCTGCCCAAATTCAGGATGATCACTGCCTTGTGTCCAATTCACTCATCCACATTACTTGATCACCTACACACCAGTACAGACACTCTCTTGCTCCTCATCCCTATTGAATTGGCACTCAGAGGCAAAATGTACAGCTCACAGACCTTCAGCCTCCAGCTTACGTATCCTGGTGTGGCTTCAAGCCCTGGGAATGCAGACCTTTTTCTGCTGAAAATATAAATACACACACACTGTCATTATTTGGCTTTTGCTCAGCTATCACTGCTTTGGACGATGTATTCATTTAATCTTGTTAACAAATCCTGGCTTTTACTGCAACTAAGCATTAATTGCTTAATGCCTGCAAAGTCTTTTGAAGATGGAAAGCAGGTTAGGTAGTTATGTAACAACCAATTAGTATACGCTCTTATATATTTGTGTTTTACGATGGCAACCTTTTTGGAGAACTTAGAATTTCAGAGAACAGTTCAGTATTAAACTCTTTTCCACTTCCAGTTAATAGGATATTTTTAAAAAAATTTTAATGCAGATCCAGTCTTGTTTGATACTAACATCTGGAACATATTCAATACAATTACAGCATTCTCATTTCCCGTGCTTCTAACGAGCAATGTGTGTTCTGTAGTAGAAATAGGGGAGAGATGGGAAGGGGTAGAATACCACAACCCAAGACCCACTCACAAATATGATATATTAGGCTATATTATTCGAATCAAATCTACTTTCTAATATATTCCATGGGGATTTCTCCAGTGCGACCATCTCCCGCAAATTGTCTGAATCTGCGCTATAGCTTCCACAGTGCATTAGCATCGCTCCCATATGCCAGGCAAGAGGCTACAAGCCCCACCAAGGGGATATAATGCTCCTTAGGAGGACAGATTTATTCTGAATGTTTTTTGAAATCTAGTCATTTTACATAAAGATAAAAATAGTTAAAATCCAGACTTGAGAAACACCAGGGATCTCTGTACCGTCAGGTACAAAGCAATATAAATTGCTTTCTATCAGCACTGCAGATCCTCCCAGAATTCATCGCTTCCAACCCTTGAAAAGCAAGTCTTGGAGAGGGCTAACTATCAAAGCAGAGATTTCATGACGTCCAAATGACAGGCTCTCACAGAAGTTCTTTTGGAGAAGGTTAACTTAAGGGTATTTCTTTTTATATTAGCCAGTGACAATGATGGCTGGAACTAGAAAAAGAGAGATAGGAACCTTAAACCTAACTTGGTAAGACAATAGTGGCTCTAGAAAACAAGAAGAGGAACAGCCATTTTCCCTTGAATTGAAAAGCTTCAGTTTTATTCCTGAGCGCTTAACCAGACTTAGAATAACTTCTTCCTACAACCTGCACGGCTCATTTCTGAAGATACAAGCCTATGGGCGAAGGGCCATTACTCTATTAGGGAGGAACTGTTACCACCTATTTAACCTCCTTCACATCAGGAGTTTCTCATTGAAGGAAGCATTTATACCAAAAACACTATGCCCAAGGATACAGGCAAAGAAGAATCCACAGAGAAAAGTTATGCCTGTCATTCAAAGAGAAAATATTAATCATTCTTTCTTATTTAATATAGGCCACTCTGTAACAACTCCTAAATTCCTTCCCTTCCTC